ACTATTATTAATCATTCATAGCCATGACCCATAGAGTTTATCACCTTCATAGTTGTTTCCATTAAAGGTTGCTTTGGTGTCCTTGTTGATCTACAAAGCTTTGTGTGACTATCAACTCGACAGTCCCATAGAAATTTATAGCTATGACAATCTGAGTTTGCTTACTTGTGATTATTGAGCTATTAGACACAACTTTCGAGTCAATTTTGCCAATTTTGTGTTCAGGTTTCACCCAAGATCGTGCTTACGACTTCTGTGAACTGCATTTGTCTTACAAGATTTTGCATAATGTTTCGAGTTGTTATCTAATGGAGATCTGTGCTAGTAGCTAAAACGTCATCCAAACACTTCTAAGGCATATACAGTGTACAGAAATTTCTAATCAAATGCACATATTTATGTTTTACTATCTTCTGTAGATCTTACTAAAACCTCTCTGTTTTTAAGAACACATATGTCTCTGAATACTACAATAAGGATGGTATACCAATGACTCTATCAGTCTCTTAGCAATGCTGAGGTAGAAACATTGATTACAGACACTTCATTATTTAGTTATGTTAGATGAAGCAGGATAACTCACTAGTGTCCTAAAAAGTCGAAGTCCAAAAAACTATGGACTATTTCCTGAAGTGTTTCAAGCAAATAATTGCTTAAAATGATTGTATTCAGGGATTGGGAGTACAATGCCTGGCATTGGATTTGGAATCTCTGCTACTCAGTGCTACAGAGTATTTGACGGGTAGCTGCTTAGTAATTGGGATACATTTATAACCAAGCTGGATATACATTTTGACCTATTGAACGATACAGTGGACTACGGAGTCAAATCAAAGATTCAAAAGTGTGGAGCTCACATTGATGAAAGAAAATGGCCCAAACTTTGGTATTTTAGAAATAGAACTGTTGCAGAAATATATGAGCTATAGTTCTTTGTACAACCATCGAATACCAATCAGATGAGTCCAGAAACAGTGGATTACAATGAACATATAAAACAAGTGGCTGTGGTGCTTTCAAATGTAATGATTTTTCATAGCATAATACAGAGCTATTCTAGTATTTTATTATTTTATTCTGTGTTCTTTTGTGAGGAAATTAATACAAGAAATGCTCTTTTATTTTCAGAAATCAAACTTCACGTGTTTGAATAGTTATCGTTCTGAGTTCTGGTTTCAGGCAAGTGATTTGATGTTTAGGTTATCAGTAAATTGTTCATAGAATTTGTTAACCTGTTTGTAGGTCCTGATGCATGACTGGATAAATAGAACAACAATGACTTGACACTGTTTTAGTACAAGTGATTGACGTTTAATAAAACAAACGATGTGCAAGTTATTTTAGAGACCAGGGACATTACCAGCACTGACCTAGAACTGGATGATACAACCTTCAAAGAGTGCTTACTTATTTTCAGTAATTATTATGATAGCTTACTTTTATGCCTTTTTTGCTACAGATGAGTGTGTGTTTGGATGTGCTAGAAGGCACTCATTGATCAGTACAATAGTCTTTGTATTCAGCTATTGGTAAGTCTAACTGAAAATGAAAGTATACCTAAGACTGCTTTCAGCAAGCTGGGAGCATTTGGCCTGTGTAGTACATCTTAACGTTCAAGAGGCTTGTGTTACTATGAGATAGATGTCTCGTTCATATGAATGCTATTTGTGGTTGTAAACCTTAGGAAGCAATTGATATAGTATTCTAGCATATCAAGGATATGGGTTTGAAACTTATATGCCCAAAATGTCCACTGAAGGGGCGTTCTTGATCATATAATACGTAAGGACAGAGTGTCCAAAGAATCTTTGAATATACCAGTAGTCAATAACTTACTAAAGTCTAATTAAATTAAAGGTCAGTATCTATTTAAATTTGTAATTGAAATATTGACAGTTTGTGTCCAATTTCTCTAAGAAAACAGCAGCATTATCAAATATCACTAAGGCTGATATACAGATAGACAGGACAGTCTGGCCAAGTGTTTCAGTCATAGGGCGTACTTTTGTTGAGTATGTGATATTTATTTATCTTCTACCTAACTGCCATTCATCTTGGATTTTGATACGAGTGATTATTAAGAAGTTCAGTATTTTTACATGTGTACAAGGATGTGGAACGTGTTATAAGTGCCCCATCTGTAGTATATGTTAAGTGTTACTGGTGTTGTAGGAAATACACTTCAAATGCCCCATCCATAACTAAGATGGCTAGTGAAAATTTAAAATGTGAAAGGTATGATTAAATATTAGAGTGAATGTTTGCAAGTGTACACATTTAGTGTACAGTAAAAGCTAGGTTAATAGGACAGAAGTGCTGACAATTGCCTCACCAACTAGTGAAAACTTAGGATTTGAATCCCAGACACCATACAGTGGTGAGAGCAACTACAGCAGTACTAATGTCAAACTGCATGAATGGTGATTAATCTGCTTTAGGATGGATATTTAGAATGGCTAATCATCTGCCTCATTAGGAGTAACTGAAGGACTTAAGACAGAGTTTGGATAATATTTGCCATTGAGGAAAGTGAAGTGTGGCTTTCATAATTTAGCAAACACAATATTGATACACACATAACATGTGGTACTTGTATAACCTGGACCTGGCATGACCTTATAGTTAAGGCACTCTACTCGCAGGTTCGAATCCTGTCACCGAATATGCTTGCTCTTTAATCCGTGAAGGCATTATATTGTGATGGTTAATCCTACTTTTCGTTGGTAAAGGAGTAGCTCAAGAGTTTGTGGTGGGCGGTGTTGACTAGTTGTCTTCCCTCTACTCTATCAGTTATAACCTAGGGATGGTTAACACAGACAACCCTCAAGTAGGTTTGCATGAAAGTATAACCAATTCTGAGACGAGGATGGTGGATTGTACCATGTTATGAGCAATGGACATGTGACAACCAAAGTGTAATGCAATTATATCCCCAAAGTTCTGAGATATAAGGTACTTCATAATTTTATGGCACCAGGAAATCTCTTACACCATTCAAAAAATGCAGAAGTGTTTCTTTTGGCTGAATGTAAGTAAAAGTTGATACAAACATAACACCAAATGCACTTCTGACAAGAAAAACTGGCTATATCAAGGAAGACTAAAAAAAGGTTGTAGATTCTCCTTTGTAGAAAAATACACGGAAAGAGGTAATTCGTATGTGTAATCATTATCATTTACTTCCCCAAATGGGCTAAAGCTTATCCACTGGTCAGGATTTCACGCAATCCATCTTTGATGCATTGAATGAGCATTAGATGATATAATTCAGAGATCCTGTAGCAATCCTCGTGGATAAAGAGGAAAGTTCACAATGATTTGTTGACACAGTTTTAGTGGAAACTTTTGGTGGAAACATTTACTTTATCATATCAGTGGAATGCAGAAGCTCAGAACAAAGAAATGGATCTACAAAAAAAATTTCTCATTCAACATAACATTGATGTCTGCTGTGTAGAAGAATCTCATCAATCACCAATTCTCTATTAGAAGGAAAGAGAGCTATATTCAAGATAATCTAAGTGGGAGGAGGGGAATTCTGACCATTGTCAAAAAAGCATACCACCTGCTTTAGCCTAACAATCCGGCTCAGAGTAGACAGAGTGCTTTGGAAGGATGCTGATCCTGAATAACCAAAATATGTGTACTATCTATAACGTCTGCTCTCCACCAGACAAATCAATCCCACTACAGATAATACAATTAAACAACAACTGAATCATCGTGGTGACTTCAACAGCCATTCTCTAAGTTGGGGTTATGCTGAACTTGATAAAAAAAGAAAGTGTGGTATAAAGTTTGAGTATCAGCAACCAGATGGTGTTTTAAGACCACTAATATGAACCCTACATGTACTATTCAACATACTAGAGAACCACCAGCGTCCCAGATCTTGATATTGCTGTAGATGATGTTCGCAGTACTAACACAATAGAAGTCTTCCAAAAGCTGGGTGGCAGACACCATAGACTGATAATCATTACCATCAATCAACGAAAAAAATGACATCAACAGAATGCGGCCAAGTTGGAATTACAGAAAAACAAACAAAAAACAAATGAGACCCTTACCAACAACAGGTTGAAGAAAGCTAGTAAGATGATATTTTCTAAATCCAGTATGAACACAAATACCGAGATGTTTAACAAGGCTAAAGAATCCATTTCAAGATGCAAAAATAGAGCTTATGAGCCCCTTTGGAGCCCTCATCTAAAAACCTTGCAAAAACAAGTCAGTGGTGCCCGAGAGAAGATTGAGAAGAATCCAACAGACTGTAATGCCATTGTCCACAGTAAAGCAAAAAGCCGAATTTATAAGAGTTTAAGTTGAATGAATTCGAAACAACTGGCACGAAAAGACACAAACACTGAGCTCTGAGAAAGACATGAATAGTCTCTGAAAGTTAACTCTCTGAATTAAGAACAGTCAGCTAAATGTAAAACCGTTCTGCACAGGGATACAGGTATCTAATATATTTGCCAAAATCTACCAGAAACAAAGCATCATAGAGATGGAGTACAAAACTTATTTCTCAGCAACTGAAAGGCAAATCTATGATCTTCATAATGTTTTTGAAATACACAGTAATAAACATTGATCCAGGCGTGGCTAGTGTTCGGGATGCGAATACGATGGTTCAAGAGTCGAAGCCCGTTACCCCAAAAACACATTCTGCATTTTGGGGTGGTGAGTGCGCTATAAGAGCGACAACCAAATCTCACTATTAGGTCAAACAAGGGTAGCCCAAGAGATGGGATTGGGTTCTGTTGACTGGCTGCGTTTCCTCTAGTCTATCAGCTCAAAATTAAAGACAAACATAAGAAGATAGCACTTTGTATAGGTTAGAACGAAAATCATGAAACAAAAAAATAAATAAACGTCAGAGGTTTGTAAAACATAGTAAATAATTTGGATGAAATGTTCAGATAGTTTACATTGCTTACAATTTATGCTAAAAGATATCGCATGGCTATATTACCACTAGATTTCATTCAACACACCTGATTAGGCCTTTTAAGATAACTTTTCTTCCTTCATGCAGTCACACGATATAAATCATGCAATGAATATTTCAACACTATTCTTTGAATATGGTAATAAGTATCACTCGCCTACAGTTTAGTCTTCTGTCGTTGCCATATTATTTACCATTGTCACTCCTTGCAATACCCACCTCTGTTTACGAAAGTTATTCTATGACACTTACACAACAATATCACGACCGTTTTGGAACTGGTTTTCACAAGTACTTTGCCCCTAACACAAAACTGTGACGCATATTATATATATCATGTACGATTTCACACGTTTAACGAACAATCTCAAAATTGGCGTTCAAAATGTTCACAGAGAAGTACTAGCTACGTCACAGTGAACTAGAAAATAAACAACTCAAAATGGCAGCATTAAACAGCGCGTGAGACCGAAATGTTGAACGTTGGGTTCCAGTGTGGAGTTATTTCATTTAAATAAAGCACAAAGTAATCACATTTCAGCACAACTACAGGCCAGAGAATCAAGACTTACCCACTGCTTATCACCACCCAATGAATGTTACTCAAAAGAGCGTTCAAAGTACAAAATGCTACATTGCAGTCGCTAAACGCGGGTGTGTTTATTGACGCTATTTCGACACAATATAAAGGGCAGTAAATTCAACGGTTCTGTTTATTGACGCTATTTTGACACAGTATAAAGGGCTGTAAATTCAACGGTTGTGTTTATTGACGCTAATTGGACACAATATAAAGGGAAGTAAATTCAACGGTTGTGTTTATTGACGTTACTTCGACACAATATAAAGGGCTGTAAATTCAACGGTTGTGTTTATTGACGTTACTTCGACACAATATAAAGGGCTGTAAATTCAACGGTTGTGTTTATTGACGTTACTTCGACACAATATAAAGGGCTGTAAATTCAAAATAGCTTTCTAAAACTTAAATAGTATTATCGTATTGGTTTGTTTTCAATTTCGCGCAAATATACTCGATGGCTAACTGCGCTAGCCGCCTAATTTAGCAATGATAGACTAGAGGAGAGGCATCTAGTTAACACCACCCACCGCCAACTCTTAGGCTACTTTTTATGTCCAACGAATAGTGGGATTGACTGCCACATGCCCCTAACTAGCACCGTTGTAAGTCCGGAGAAATACCGCTATGAACACATGTGTAATAAAAGGCCTGTCATGGCTCGATTGTTAGAGTGTTGGACTCGCAGTCTGCGAGTCATCGACTTCGAATCCCCGTCACAACATGCTCGCTTTCTCAGACATGGAGACTTTGTAACGTGGCAGTCGTTGTTTTGTTGTTTTTTATTAAACACAAAGGGCTATCTGTGCTCTGCCCACCACGGGTATCGAAACCCGGTTTCTAGCGTTGTAAGTCCGGAGAAATACCGCTGCTAGAAACCGGGTTTCGATACCCGTGGTGGGCAGAGCACAGATAGCCCTTTGTGTAGCTTTGTGCTTAACTTCAAATAAACAAACAAATACATATGTGTTTTATTTTTCAAACCCATAAAAACAATTAACACTAGCAACTAACTCAGAATTTAATAACAAGCACAAAGTGCAAAATCACAGAAAAATGGATCTGTAAATAATGGATTCAAAGCTCATAAAGAGAATTACAGGGTTTATTCTCTTTGATATTTTACCGTATCTTGGGTTGATATCATGGACGTATAAAATTATTGTACACGTTACTGGTGTAAATAGGTTATTAAACTTAAGATAATACGTAGCGTGAAGGACGTCGTCACTCTGAGAAACTAAATCTATAACAAGGTTGGTCAATTTTCAATCGATCACATCATGGATCTTTTTCTTTATTTGTTTAACTGACCACCACGGGTATCGAAACCCGATTTCTAGCGTTGTAAATCCGCAGACATACCGCTGTGCTACTGGGTGTTAAAATAACTTTTGAGACGGCTTGACTGGGTAATGAAACATTTATTAAAAATCTTCTCAAAACGTCGTACATTTATGGTAAAGTTTTTTCATCATCCAGTCAAGCCGTCTCAAACTTTTATTTTCTTAAAAGTGGGTTCCTCGTTATCAACTTTTGATGAGTGTTACTTTTCCAAGTTAGCTTGATGTCTGGAAAACATTTCTTTCAGAAGCAAAACTGTAGATTATGTAGGCGAGGCGAAATGGTGTGTTGCCTCATTGTACTCATAATTTCACATACTGCCACATCTCTGTGAAACTCAATACTTTTGCAATACGCAGCTGCTATTGACTGGAATATTGCATTAAAAGAGCATTTATTTTGAAGCATGTATTTACCTTTCCTAATTGTAAGAGGATTAAAGATGTTGCAATTTTTCATAATCTACAAATGCAATGCAAATTGTCTCTTAATTGCAATATCGATGGTAAGGCAGTTGCAATTTGAGTACAGTGATAAATATTTCAAATAACTGGTTTAACTAATTACCATTTCCTCACTTGGGTATCCAAATATTGTGATATTATGACATCTCAATCCATATTTCCTTTGCTTGTATGAAATTGAATGCTGTTTCATCCATTGAATTCACTCCCGTGGACTCAGCTCTTGAGGTCAACGGTACCACTTCTCTGCAAAGAGTTTAGCAATGTCCTTTTTGTCCATATCTCTTGTCATCTAGTGGTATTGAACATGCCTCTATTGTGTGAAAAGGCTTGTTGCACCATTCACTACTATGGCCTCCTCTAGGCTCGTCACCACTGCTGCATTGTTATGTGTATTTTGTGGAAAGATTGGCCTCTCGCTCTGTCGTTTCCATTTCCAGAAGATATGACAAAGATGTGTCATTGTACTTGACACAGACAATTTAATATACTCTTTTATTGGAAATAATTCTTTCCTAATTACTTTGTCAATCCTCTTATGTAAGGCATCATACTAAAAGGTTTGAGTTTTAAGGTATTTACATTTGAAGATAAAGATCTCACATTTCCGTGGCCAGAAAAAGGCCTTATCATTTCTGGTCACAAATGCAAAGAATTACAAATTCTGGTAAAGTTTTGATTACTGCTCAGAGATAGTGCATGTTTTTGCAATCCTCTGTTTGCAGGTAGAAGTTACATCACTTACATCTGTTACAGGTCTTTGCAGCAACAACTTACTTCTTTTGTTATTCATTTTATGTATGTTTGCGTTCCTCTTGTCACGGATAGCTTCATCAGATTGGCTTAGCTCTTCTTCAATTCCGATACGATTTTAAAAGCACTGTTTTGCCGACTCTGCTGGGACTACTTCTACGCCATTTTATCCATTGAATGAAAATTGAGCTGCTATAACTACCTTATCCAGGAGTCTTTGCAGAATTCCCAGGCAGCATCATTTATAAAGAAGTGGGCTACATCTATTCGGATATAGAGTGGTGAGGTTTTGTTGATTATCTTATTCAATTTATCATAGGAAACACTTTGTGGTCTTTTCATTTTTCATGAAACACTTCGCGAGTATCGAAGCTGAGAGATACAAGCTACCTCCATGGGCGTTGTAGTTCCAGCTGAACATCAGAGCAAGCCATCTTTCAATTACAAACACATTATGCTTTGTTAAAGTAATTTATGTTAGGGAGGTATCAGTAGATTATGTTGAAATATAAGCGTGGTAAAAAAATGCATGCTTTCGCTTGTGAATAGGGTGTTGGCAAACTAGGGTAAAGCAAAGACTCCTAACCTTGTCATTGCTCATAACAGATACTTATTGTTTTAAACAAACTGTGTAAAAGAGCAAAGAAGGGATCATGTTCGATGTCGTGAATATTTCATTAATACATATTTGAGTATTTTTTTCATGTTATTTATGGTATATGCACATTACACTATTTCCTGTGAATTATATCGGCCAGTAACATGGTACCATTGATTTGTTTTTGTTTTTAATTATGCACAAAGCTACACAAGGGCTATCTGTGCTCTTCCCATCACGGGTATCGAAACCCAGTTTCTAGCGTTGTAAGTCCGCAGACATACCGCTGTGCCACTGGGGGGCAGGTACCATTGGATGTGGCGCTGATATTATCTCTCCAAAATACACAGGTACAAGGATGTTGCGTTTCATCACTTATTAAATCATTTACTGCATCTGTGCACACCCCTTAAGGAACACACTACGAGACCTGTATTCATAGTGATCCATTTTTGTAATCTTATTTTTGCAGAACAGGCTAAGATTTCATTAACTTTTCCAACCCGGGCTCGGTCCCTGGGACCGACCTCGTAACCATTTTGTGCTTGTTATAGTTTTCATGCTATAACTTTTAAATTAGTAAGCGAATGTTAACGAAATTTGGCATTTTATCAGTAAACATTACAATGTTTCATACGCAAAATATATAATTTTTAAATTAAGTTTCAATATTTAACCTCTGAGACTGGAACAGAAAACTTACAGGAGTTGAACCCATTGAATTCATCTTCTAGCATCTCCGAAATTGCTGAATGTTGATTCTGACATGCATGTCCAACTCTGTGTCGCTTCTGTATTTTTTGTAGACTCAGGGCCAATCTCTTCAATTATGTTCCTTTTGTTTTAGCAAAACACATATAACTTATATTGTTATTAGATAGTTTATTTGAACACTTGTTTCTTTCCAAATTCTACTGTTTGGAATTTGGAACAAGTAGCATCTATATATTTAGCTAACATAACGTATCTTGATACTTCTGGTATCTTTCGCATCTTGCTTACTCAAATAAACATATTTTTCCCTGTTAGTCCTACTGACAAATCTGGGACATCTTATGAGATGGAATAGGGACGTATGAAGGAATTACCTTTGACAATCCACAATGAATAAATAGGTAAGACGTATTCCAGTAAGCAAATCGCACTGAGTAGACAACTTTATACATCTGGGGTGGTCAGATTCCTCTCCCAAAACTCATATGCTACTATCACTCGTTTCGAAGTGTGTTGAACGTAAGCTAGACTAGCAGAAAGAAACGTCTAGGTATTATGTTTCTTTGAATTACAAGAATTAAAATCAAATTAAGACATGAAATATACGAGTTTCACAGTGTTAATACATAATGTAAGACAAAACACAGTGTTAATACACTGTGTTTCGTTCTTTCCAAACACACTGTTATCTGTCCATAGTGTTATCACAGTGTTTTCTTAATGTTTAACAATGTGTTTTTTATGTATTCTTCCGTTGAGGCAATACCCCATTTTTCATAATTTGTTTATAACTCGTTGCATTTGGAGCTAAGTTGAGGACTGAAGGTTAAATTTCCCCAAATCAATATATTTGTTACTTTACACACACAAAATTATTTGAAATGATAACAGAATCGTGAAAATATCTTGAGTTAATAACATTTATTTTATGTCAAACT